TTGTTGGCGTCCTGCATTGCAGGACAGTCTTTAAAGTTGTCAAAGTAAGTGCTTCAAAATTTACTCGCCAACGACTTTTGACGCCTCAAGGGCGTTCAAGCTGGAGGAGGATTTCGTCGGCGGCTGCATGACAATGTCGATGTACTCGACGACGGATAAAATGAAAATGTCAGCGCCCAGTTGTTTTCCAGGACGCTACAGTCCATCCTATCGAAGTTCGGAGCAAATGCGACGCTGCATGCCAAATCCATCTGTAAGTATCCAGCGAACCGAAACTATATCTTCTATATATCGATTTGAATACCCGCTTTAGCTGTTCTACTGTGCCAAAGGCATTGCAATCTCTTTTAAGTTTCTATTTAATATAAAAGCTTTACCTTCTTTGAACCTATAAAAAATATATTTGGCTAAGAATTAAAAAAAATCTTCATTTGCCGTCGGTGCTGACCATTTGGAATTTGCAGAGCTCTATGTAATTGAGAGTAATTTATCTTTTTCTATATATGATACTATGCTCTCTTATGTATTGTATCTAATTATTGATTGACTTGTTAGCAAAGTCTTTGAAACCTTCCAAACTATTTGACTTACAATTTGTACGAAACACAAGCAAAGCTTTGGCTGCTAGACAATTCCCATCTAAGAATTCAGAACCAGTAAATGCAAATATTTAATGCTTATTATATTCTTATTTATATATTTTGATGGTTCTCTTCATCTACTTAAGATCAGCATTAAATATCGTCTATCAGATCAGTCAAGCATATGATAAAATAAATTAACGAATATTACTATTCGAAACGTTACTCAAAATTAAATCCGTATTAGTTCCCAAAATATAGTTAACATTAAGAATAGTTAAGTATTATTAATACAATAATTAATATTATGTTCTTACAACTTGAAACCGAAAAAGCTAGGGATTTATGTTGTAGTACATATAATGAAATATTTATGTATAGGGTGAGGTTCTTCTATGTAGTAATACGGATAAATCTTATGGAATCATAAATATATTTAAATTGTTGAACTCAAGAGACGATCCAGCAGGTCTTGACTCTGATGGCATCTGAGTCTTTTCCTAGAATTCGTCCGGGTGCTCGGGGAGCTTTGAGCTGCAAACTTTTTGGATGATAATTGAATCTCTCTAGGTAGTTTTTGGACACCTCTTGGATTTGGTCTACCATTTTGGAATCATTGAGATCAAGTTCTACATCCCTGGCTCTCACGTACGAAGTAGCTCCCGTGATCGTTCTCATTTTCGAGTACCTTTAAGTACATCTACGCAGCAATACTTGGATGACATAGAACAGGCCAGAAACAAGGAAATTCTCATAGATTATAGTCCTCTTCAAGCAAAAATTGTAACGCGCTGCAGGCTTTCAAGACAATTTATCTAATTTAGCTCTAAATGGCTGCTGCAGTGATGTTACATGCCTTCTGAATGTCATGCGTCTGTCCAGTATTATGTCAAGGTAGTCTAAGTCTAGAGCCTGTACATCATAATTTAGTACACATGAATAGGTAATTTATTTAGAGCAAGTCCCCATAACGCAGCATGAGAAATTTTAATGGAGGTAGTGCAATCGTACAGTCAAGCCTTGGAGCTTAAGTCATCTTAAAGTTGGGACAGAGAGTCCCCTTTCGAGTAGGCTACAGTATCTTAGCAATCCTTCTATACCTGGTTGTGTGCCTTCCAATCTGTTATTCAGATCTGCTCTTCAAAGCTAGATCTCTACCAAATTACCCGGTTCTGCAGTAATCGTTCGATTATAATTTGATTTGGCAGCGGTTCCTCAGATCTGGCCCAAAGGTCCAAAGTAACTCTGAGATACTTAACTGGTGACGGCTGCTCCAGGCTAACTCCCTCTAGCTGGATTGGATCAAGTGATTTAATAATAGAAAAGAAATCCATAGTTCTCAGATCATATTTAAATTCTAATTAACATTCCTGTTGGAAATAAAAAGAATTTTCTTCTGATTATTCTACATAAAGAGACTAGACCAGACCAGAAAAATGTAGTAAAAGAAAATGGCAAATACTTTTGCTAAATTTGTTTTTTGTCTGGTCTAGTCTCTTTAATATTAAATAGTCGGTGCTTTGAGTATGTATATACATACATATATGTATATATGTCTATATAAATTGAATGCAGACATTACGGCTATTACTCGGCTCTCGGCTCAGACATGTTTATTTATAAATACGTTGTGCACAGACAGAACACACACACACACACAAACGCATTCACATGTGTATGTGTGCGTATGTGTGTACACATAAACATATTGAAAAGTGGCAAAGCGGAAACGGAAAAGCAAATTCAACGTGAAAAAAATTAAACTATAAAAAATGCATAATCATAAGTAAAAGTGTGCTACAGTGTGAGTGTGCACGACGCGGAGATACCCTCTGTCAACTGCTAAATATAGACATGAATATATATTGTATATATACTTTTATTTCACAAGTCTTTATGGAATATTGTCTCAAAATTTGTTTCCACAAAATATACAAATTTTTAAGAAAACTATTTTGATTAAACTCCATAATTTCAGAGGTCAGGCTATCGTATAAGCGGAACAAACGAGTTTGACATATAATTAATTTTGGTCAGAGAAATTCCTTCTGTTTAATATATATTGTTAAGTACTATAGATTTCATAGTCCTGGCCCAGTACAGGTCCTTTCTTAGCTGTTGTTTTGATTACAGGGTACATATGAAGCCAAAGCTTACTACTTGTCACATTAACCATCATTTTGTGTATGTGTGTGTGTGTGTGTGTGACTAAAAATAAAAAGCTGACAAATATTTGTCTTAATTATTGCATAAATGTCACTCGCTGCGGCTGCTTGTTGGTGCTGGAGGGTCTAGTAAATAGATTTATGAGGTTTTTTTCTTGCTTGTTTTTTCTTGTTTTTTTTTTTTTTTTTTTTGCTTTAAGCTTGTCGCTGCTTTGCTAATGGCAGCGATTGCAGAGGCCGGTCGTAACCTTGAAAAGCGTTTTGTAATTTATTTACATTAAATATTTATTAACCATTGTTGGGTGACAAATAAAAAGTGTGTGAGAGAGAGAGAGAGAGAGAGGGAAGCATGCATACATTAATGAGAAAAGCAGACAGAAACTTGTGCAAATCGCGAGTCCAAATAAAAAAGCAAAAATAAAAACAGAAAAACAGAAAAAGTTGATTGCCAGTTAATGAGGGTTGGGGTAGTCAGCTTTCACCTGCTGCTGCTGCTCCTGCTGGTGCTGGTGCTGGTGCTGTCAACCCCAATGCCCGCGCCGCTGAGCCGAGGCGCATTTTAATCTGGCACGGGGCACTTTAAAAACACTTACTGTAAATAAAAACAACGAACGCGTCGCCTTCTTAAAGGGAATGACAACTACATTTGCTTAGCGGATTTAACACACAAGCATCACCCCCCCACCCACCGCCCGACCATTGCACAACCCAGCCCAGCCCAGCTGAAAAAGCCACCCAACCCACCCCCAACCCCTAGTTTGGGCCACTTTTCGGCTTTGAGACGCAGCAGCGGCAAAAAGCGTATGGCAAAAGGCGAATGATCAAAGCGCCGGATTTATAGGATTTATGCGCTACCCTTGGCTGGCTTGGAGCGCATTAAGCACAAATATATATATACAGAGTGTGTGTGAGAGAGAGACAGCGAGAGACAGTTGGAGTGCGAGCTATCGAAAATGCGCTCTTTGGCTGGTTACAGCAAACACTTAACGCCTTGCAGTCCATTTAATGGACATTTGTCAGCGACAAATGGACAAGCGGACAAATGGCTGGACAACGCAACCCCCACTCCGTGCTCGACGCAGCCCCTGCCCCCACTCCCCACGCCCTGTGCCGTGTGTTAGCCAAGCGCGCTAAATAGATGGCCTGCTGTGCCGTTAATTTGATTTAAATATTCATAAACTGCATTAAATGTCCGCAACAAATGTGCCAATTAAACGCACCACAAACCAATCAAAAATGGTTAACGGGCCGACAGAAAAGCAGGAGATACACCACAGCACCTGGATACCCTGTAAAGGGAAGTTTTCTTAATTACCAAAAAGAGTACTTGACCCCGTTTTACGTCTAGAACTASAACTAGAATTAGTGGAAGACTTTACGTCCAATTAGCTTCCAGTTAGATGTTTGTAAGAACATCCTCTTGACTGGATAGAAGACTCCGATTAATGGACTGTCTTCTTCTCTTGAATAGATTCTATAAGCAATATATAATGTGTAATTATTTGCATTATGCATTTGCTAAGCCACATTTACACAGAAAACTCGATGATTTCTTATCTTACTTTTATTGTACTAGGAAGATATACATGTATAGTATATAGAATATCTATTGTCAGCTATCGAACTATATATAAACATATTTGAAGTAATATATTAACTAGTAGGAAAAGTAATCAAGGTTTTTGACCAGTTTCGAAACATACAGATACTGACAGATAAAAAAAAGTCTTGATATTACTTACTATAGCAGTCTACAACTATGCTGAAAATATGTACTTATATATCTATACTGATGCTACCCATTAAGTAAACAGCATCAAAGGTTTATGACTAAGATAATATTAGAATCAATAATAATATACAGTAGAATCAGATTATAACGATGCTCAAGGAAAGACGCTATAACCATATACAAGTTTGCTCATATAAGTTTGTTTAGGGACCAGAATTTTCGTCACAATAACCGTACGGACGCTATAAGCGGAGGTATACCGGGATTCTACTGTATATAATAATTTAAACAGCAAAACATAAAGCATTTAACCTTTGTTATAAGGACTGAATACTTATATAATGCTATTTAATTTGTCTAAACAAATCTGCTGCTCTCGTCTCTGCTTTGTATTTTCGAATTGAGCTGCTTCTATCGATGGCATTAAAGTCAAGTATGTATGGTATATATATGTATATGTATGTGCTAAAGGTCTACTACTTGAATCTTTTAGTAAAATAAAGTGTAAAATACCTCTGCAGTGATATTCAATATAATAGTAATTTGTTTTTAATCGTATCAAGAACATCTTAAATTCGTGAATTCATATAACATTATATTTCATAATAAAAAACTCTATTATAAATACATAACATTCATATTTAATTTTCGACTAACCGATTTGGTGTTTAGTTGATTTTGGACTAGGACATGTTTTTATACTCTTCGAGCTATACCTATTCCCTTGCTCACACATCGTGTCTTGTGCAGAAATTTGTTGGCCAAATACAAGACA